AAAAAAAAGTTCAATAATTTTAATAAAAATTAATTTCGACTTTCTAGAATATTAATTTGATTACTTAATTATTATGATTTATTATGAATATTAATGAAATTCAAAAATTTAAATTAAACAAAATTAGTGATATATATTCATTAAAAAAAGATGATCTTATAAATTTGTGTAAAAGTAAAAACTTAGACGAATTAGGAAACGTAAATGACTTAAGAACACGTTTAGCTAGATACTTTAGAGCGCAACATAAATTGTCAGATATAAAACCTAACTTAAGTCCAGCTGAAATTGAGAAAGTTATTCATGCCTTTTCTAATGATAAACTAATAATCGTAGAGAGTAACGTAGAACCAAGTGTAGAAGGTAAATTTGAAAGTATAGATGAAAAGTTATCAGACATCCTTATTGAAGAAAAAAATCATTCTTACGCTAATACTAGCGATATTACAAAACCGGATAATTTTTATAATAATATTAATAATGCTTCATCGGGTGATCAAAATAAATTACAGGGTTCAGGTAAAGAACATTTTTATGATGATATAGACGATTTAAATAGAACCTTTAAAGAAGAACAAACACCGGGTAATCGTAATAACTTAACAGAGGGAAAAATTCTAGACTTACTTTCATTAACTAATTGCATAGAAACAATAAATTCAAATATTACAAGTATGGAGTCTAATAACCGATCTTGGTTGATAAATCAGATTATTTTTCGGGTACTGAGGACGTAAGAAAATTTTTCAGACAGTATGAAAAGGCAAGTGAAATTAATAGATGGAATGAGAGTGATAAAATAAAATTTTTGTCAATATTTTTAAAAGGGACTACTAGTATATTTTTAGAAAATTTAGAAGATAAAAAATCAATTTGGACATATGAGGAATTAAAAAACAAATTTCTAAACGAATATCAACCAATAGGCTATTTAACTTTAATAAAAAATAAACTGGAAAAACGTAGGCAAGAAGAGTCAGAGTCAGTTATGAGTTATGTAACAGAAATTGAAAACTTATGTAGACAGTTAAATAAGCAAATGAGTGAAAAAGATATATGTACTTTTATTTTAAGAGGACTAAAAGAATCAGTATTCCATGCTATTTCGTTACACGATAATAGTATTTTGAAAAATTTAAAAGATAACTTGAAAAAGTTTGAGTTAATGCAGTTTAGAATAAACAATAGATGAGCCGCTGGTATCAGTGAGTACATAGACATTATAAATAGACAGGTATCTAAACTAGATAAATATTCAAAAGAAAGAGAACTTGAAGTTCAAGATTTAAGGAGACATTTAGAGAGAAGAGATAGGGACTATAAAAGAGAAATAGAACGACTTAGCGATGAGATAAAAAATATTCAAGTTTTAGGTAATAATTCTAACAGGTCAGTATATTTTGAAGATCGTAGAAATAATAGTAACAGTAAGTATAACAGAGACAAGAGCTATGAGCGAAATATAGAATACGCAGATTATAGACCTAATTATAGAGATAAAAGCTCATATCCTAGAAAGAATTACGATAGTAGAGAACCAAGTTTAGAAAGAAGGTATGATAGATACAACAGAGATAGATCATTTTCTAAGGAAAGAAATGATAGTAACAAGAAATTCAGAGATTTTAGTAATGATAGAAATGAGTATAATCGCTATTCTAGACGTGAGTACTATGATAGACAGTCTTATAGATCACCATATAATAGAGATAACAGCAGAGAGAGACGGTCAAGGTCTAAAACACCAGAATTTTGTAGGTATGAAAATAACGATCGAATGATTGGCTTAAGCAAGGTCACTTGTTTTAAATGTAAAGAGGTAGGTCATTATGCCGACAAGTGTACCCCTGTACTGGGTTTTTTTTTTTTTAATTAAATTATATTTATTAATAATTCATACGTAACTTAATAATCAAACATAAATATTTGTTATATTAATTAGAAAGATTTGGTTATTATTTATTCCATATGCAAACATTTAATTTCACATTTAAAATCGTTGCAATAATGGGTTTAGAAAAATTTATTTGGATAGTATATTTTTAAATTATTTTATTCATAAATAATACGATTAAATTTTACAAAACAATGGGTTGTGATACTTCTCCACTATCCATTATTGTAGTGGCTCTAAAATGGCCTATAATATAATATAAAATAAATAGTTCTATTAGTATCATATCTCTTACTGATTCCGATGATTTGCTCGTATTATTTAAAAATATCTGTAAAATACCAAGTTTAGACTTTATTATTAAGATTTAAGTGTGTAAATTACATTTTTATATTTATTTATACATTTTATTTAATTGTTATTGAAATAAAGATGAGTTCAAAAATAAATATGTTATATAATTTTTAACACATGTACTATATATCATATATACAGTGTGATTTAATAAAAACGATAGCCCTTATTTATCGGTCTCTCATCGAGTTCATTTGTCTCTCGTAGGAGACAAAAGGCGAGTGGACCACCGTAGCATGGTTATCTACCGTTCCTCATGATGGAGGGGTCGCACAGTGGAATGAAACGCCAATTTAGGCGGCCAAAAGTATCATTTTTTAAAAGTCATTTAAATTTTTTTTTTTAGGAAAACACATTAATAGCATACTTAATGGTTTTAATATAAATTTTTAAGATCATAAGTTGATTTAGTGAAGGTGTAGAGCTATTTTAATGTTATACTTCTAAAATTTATCCGTTATCAGTAATTTTAAGTTTATTCTTGTACATTTTTTTTATGCCTTAAATAAACCTTAAAAATTACGCAAAATTACACGTTAATCCATTCATGTGGCTTGTAGAGCAAGTCATCAGCTACACTATATAAAAAAAAAAATTTTGCGCTCGATAATATTTGAACTGTACATACTGCATTTACCTAGAATAAACGAGTATTTCCCTAAAAATCGTATGTTTTACAGGATTTTTACTCTAGTTCTATAAATAAAATAAGTCATTATTTATTATTAATTGTTATACGATTACATTGATATATAAATATGAATATTTTAGTTTTATCCATGTCAAAAATAATTATGCCATTGATAAATTCATGTCTGAAAATGAATCATTTAATTGACTATTTAATTCATCTTCTTTATAGTTGTCATCATTATGAGGCAATATTACTAACATCTTACCATCTTCTGATAACTATTTTAAATGCACTTGCTTATTTCTATCAATACTAGAAATTTAATGATCCAATGAGATAAGAAGTATGTGGATTAAATCCTCATTAGTATTTAAGCGCGAATTCTTTCTGGTGTGATGTTCTAGGTACATTTTAGAATATTTATTGTGACTCTCTTGTACCTCCTCAGATAAGTTGCCTAAAATAAATGTTGATATTTTTTATTATAGTAACTATAATTTTTTGTGATATTACCTATAGGAAGTGGCGCATATTGAATAATATGAGCATCGTGTAACAAAATTGTATGCACTGACGCCGGCATATAGTACCACGGATACAATGATACAAACAATTTAGCTGTTAAAAAACAATATTCTTCAAAGGCCTTTATGTTTATTATATATCCGCTCGCTATTACCGGTAAAATTGTTCCACAGCACTTAATTAAATTAATATCAATCACAGTACAGGAGGATGACAATTCAGCGTTTTTAAAAAATTTCCTTGCAGTATTGCTATTGTTCGTAGTTCCATGTCCTATAATTGGACAATAATGAATAGATAATAGATAATATTAAATCGTATAGAATGAATTATTTTTTAAATGTTTTAACATTCTAATATTAAGTTAGACTAAAGCATCACATACCTTGTAACACAATATCTACTAATAGTTCCATTTCAGACCTAAATATGTTATTTACGAACACTATACAAATCTTTGTCTACAGCCTTAACCTTTACAATTAGAAGAAAATAAACTGTCAGTGGATTGTATATTTTATAATTTTTTTATTTTTACCTGTCAAGTTTTAATTTCTTATCTATACGACAGATGAATAAAATACTCAAAAGAACGTATTCACGCATGCAACGTTGACAATCCATACTTATAATTTTCTGTTATGCATGATTGATATTTAACTGCCTCAATGTCATTCATTTCGGTTGGTTTACATCCACAAATAAAACATTTTTGGCTAGGTATTCCAATCAAAGAATTACATACCTATAAAACTTTTTTTTATCGAACCGAGTTCAGAAAAAAGTAATCAAATTATATTGATCAACAAAAAAATATTGATCATTAATTTTTTTGTTTGAAATTTTTTTTTTCAGTGACTAAATAATATAATCATTACTAATAAAAGTACACAATAAATTTTAGATATTTATAATAAAGTTTAATATTAACCTTTCCATCAATCACAGAAAAAATAAGCATATGTTTTACTTTAAAGTATTCGTCATTGAATAATACATATGTAGTATTTAATTTGCTTATTTGTTTTTCTATTTCTACTACCTCCTCTTTGGTACTCTCAATTGTTTCTTTCATAAACTTGTATTTAATAGGTCTACAAAATCTAGTAGAGGAAGGCATAACATTTTTCCAAAGTACGTCACTACTATTATTGCTATCATTACTACAGCATCTAAGTTCAAGTGGCACAAGAGAGAACATGAACATTGTTTGGTCAGTTGTACAAGGGTTGTCATTAAATTTTTGTTTATATTGGTCCTGGACACTACATCCGTCGCAGCCCCATTTATAGAACATTTCTAATAACTTTTTGCCAATTTTTACCTCGTTGATAGCTGGTATTAGAAAAATTCTTTTAGTTGTGTGATCTAAAAGATTCTGCAAGGGTATTATGCAACCAGATTCACTAATTTTAACATTATCGGGATAACATTTTTGTTATAAAAATGTATATTGTTATAAAATATATAAAATTTTTTGATATACTGTTGTTTTGTAAGTTTATTGTCTACAATAAATGCTAAAGCTTCATTAGCAGTATAAGAAATAGGCTCTTTGTTACAAGAATCTTCAATTGCCATTTTCATTTGGGTGACACTATTAGGAGACAACAGTAGTGTATTAAATAAACCAGCCTCATTTTTTTTCCAGGCACAAATAACTTTTTTTTTGCTGCACATAAAATTTCAGATGACATCATTGATGTCATAGTTAATTTTTCGCGCGCATTGTTCGTTCTGAACATTCAGTTAAATCAACCAAAGGTCGGCCCCGCATTGTTTTAGTAGATTTTTTTTTTAATGGAAGGCATTTAAATGGTGTAGTAAGCCATTCTAAATAATTTTTCAAAAACCTTTCATGATGACGACTAACCTTAGTCCATCTTCTAGAAGTAGCCAAACAATATACTAATAAACTTTTTTAATAAAATAAATACTCCAATTTGCTCCATTATATTTTTGCTTTAAAAAATCAAAAATTGCTGCCTTTAAGTTATTGTTTGTTATGTTTTTTTAAACTAATACCATTTTTTTTAATGACTTCAATTAGTTGTTGATTTGAAAAAAAATGGATGATGAACAATCAGAAACTAAAATAAATGTATAAATTTAATATTGTTAAAAATTATAATATCGAAATTAAAAAAAGGTTTAGTCTTAAATCTTGTAAGAATCATATTATTTATTATATAGCATTATGATCGAAAAATTTTTTATTAAAAATGTATAACTTGTTAAACAGTTTTTCTAGTAAGAAATAAATCTATACACATTTATAAAATGATTAAATAAAGTTATAAATTATTTAATAAGAACTTACCAGGTGTTTTGATGTCCATTTGAAGAAAGTAATTTAAAAAAAAAAAAACACTATATTGAAAAAATGAATAAAAAATAGAGAGATTAACACATGGAGAGTGGTTAACTTTATGGCATAATATAACGAGGAAAAATTTTTTCGTCAGATAGATATACATTTAAGATAATTTAAACAATACCAAATCTTATCGATGAGTTCATATCATTTCATTTATTAGTGTTAACTTATGAGGATGCCTATAAAATTGTTATAACACAATTGTTTGAGCCAGGCAACAAAGCGTGGCGGAGACAATGGTTCTTATCAGCCGTTTCAACCACCAATCTGTTGAACTGTCGAATAGTGACGGCGCATGTCAAAAACCAGTTGTTAGATCGCTGGGATATGTGTCGATTATTTTCGATTTTATTCTCTCGCCTTTTTTTGTCTTTTGGCGAGATTTTTTACATGAGGTAATTGTGTTATTGTTTGTTATTTAATCCTCTCCATTTCCCTTAATAAAGTGTCGGTGACCGAAAAGAAAATATTCGACGGTTTGAAAATTGTTAAATTCCGGCAGTGTTTTTTGCCATTAACTAATAATGTGCAATTAGCAAGACAAATAGGTTTCAAAAATCACTCGGATTATTGTCCTTTATCTCATGATATAGAACTGTGTGTTTTTATTGCGGTGGTCATCTGTTAGCGGAGTCACGGACGTGCTGAGTAGAAGACAACAGGTCGGATCGGTTTAGATTATTCTTGTAAATATATATATATATATATATAAATTTAAAAAAGTGCCTGTAAAATATTAATTAAATACGGGGACGCTCATCTAATTATACCATATATTTTACATTATTAATATAATACAACTATAAAGAAGATGAATTAAATAGTCAATTAAATGATTCATTTTCAGACATGAATTTATCAATGGCATAATTATTTTTGACATGGATAAAACTAAAATATTCATATTTATATATCAATGTAATCGTATAACAATTAATAATAAATAATGACTTATTTTATTTATAGAACTAGAGTAAAAATCCTGTAAAACATACGATTTTTAGGGAAATACTCGTTTATTCTAGGTAAATGCAGTATGTACAGTTCAAATATTATCGAGCTCAAAAATTTTTTTTTTATATAGTGTAGCTGATGACTTGCTCTACAAGCCACATGAATGGATTAACGTGTAATTTTGCGTAATTTTTAATTAATCTCTTTAAACGAGCAAACTAGAGAAAAAAACGAAAAAATTCGAATTTTTTTTTGAGTATAAATTTGTTAAGTTCCACAAAAATAAAAAAAATTTTGTTTTTCTTTTTCATTTGAAAAAGGATATCTTTTTTAACAGGAAAAAAAAAATTTTAATTTTAAATTATGTTTTAAGGCATAAAAAAAAATGTACAAGAATAAACTCAAAATTACCGAAAACGGATAAATTTTAGAAGTATAACATTAAAAGAGCTTTACACCTTCACNAAATTTTAGAAGTATAACATTAAAATAGCTTTACACCTTCACTAAATCAACTTAAGACCTTATAAATTTGTATTAAAACCATTAAGTATGCTATTAATATGATTTGCTAAAAAAAAAAAATTTTAGCAACTTTTAAAAAATGACACTTTTGGCCTTAGTCTTATTACTCTTTAGGGTTATGGCTGACAGTTGATGGACATACCCCTTAGTAGTGTTTTAGGAAAAAGGTTTATAGTTGAGTCAGTTAGGACCAAAAGACTTCATTCATTTGTAAAGCTAATAAGCGATATGATAATAATGTATTATTTACGACAACTGACAATCATAAAATTTATTAAATTTCTTTATAATCCTTTTTGTGAATATCTAATTGAAATTATCACCTTTATTGGATAGAATTATGTCGAGACATATAAAGTATTAAGACCCGTCTAATAAATATATTTTCAATTCGGATACGATATATAAACTGGTATAAAAAATTGCTCTCATGTTAATAAATAATAATACTATAATCATTGTACATTATGATATATAAAATAAAATTAAGTATCAAAAATAATCGATATCAAAATTGAAAATCCAAAAATAAAATATCGATAATTGATTTAAAATTAAAATCGAATATAAACTCATTCAAATAAAATATAAAGAGGGACGGTGTGGCCGAGTCGGTAACGCGGCAGTGTTTGACGCGCACTTCCTCGGGTTCGAAACTCAGTCACGGGTGGCTTCATTTGCCGAACGAGAGATTATTTCGGTAATTGAAGTCGCCATACCTCTCTCCGGCGATGGACTAATCACACGTCCCGAAGTATAAATGGTTAAGAAACTACCTTCCATCTTTGGAGAAGGCCACGATAACCTTTAATGGGCTGATGAGAACGGAAAAAAAAATAAAATGTATAAACGAAATCGAAATTTGATACGTGGTATAATACACGTAATATGAATTATTATTATTACTAATAATTCCTAAAGTGATAAAGTTTTTATTTAATAATATTATGTTTTGCGTTTAACTATGATATTTAAATGTAATTAAATTTATAACTATTATTAATAACAATGTTTTATTGAAGTTTTTTCCAAAAATTTCTTTTCAATATATTTAAGAATATATTTTAATTAGAAATTTCTGTTAAGAAATTAACATAGAATACTACAATCTAAATTTGTGATATTATAATTTTTTCATAAAATATATGGACAATAATTTTATAAAACGTATAAGATTAGAAGGTAATAAAACAGGTTAAGAATTCTTAGGAAATTTAAATTGGTAGTTATAAATTAAATTTAAATTTATTTACCTTCGAGAACCAATTATTTTTAGGTATTGCTGTAATAAGTATAATATTATGGGATAACCATAGAATTCCGAAAATATTTAATAAAAACATCTTATAGAATCAACTTAAAACTACTCAAACCACGTCAAGTTTTAAATTATAGATAATGGCAAAAATTTTCAATTAAAAATATGTATTATGAAAAGAACTGTTACATAATATTTGGCTTAAGTATATTGTTATGCAAACATTAAACAAATTGTACAAAATTAAATTCAAACATTTTGCGCATGCATTCAGTGAGTGGAATACGTGTTGTACACGTTTTGGATGAATCGGCTTTCTTCAACTGATATGCGGTTAAATCAAAAACTCCAAAAAATATAAATGAAATGCTTTATTCGACGAATTAATTGGGACCGAAAGTTAGAGTGATTTGTAATAATTGCATGGCTTGATTTTTCATTTTATCGTATGCCAGCCAACATTTTAGTCTTCTCAAAATTCTAAATATTAAGGTCGTTTTCAGCTTATTTCGTCGTTTACCGGTTGGGCTGTTCAATAATTATGATGTGGCGTCGTCAAGGCCATAACCTTCTCCTACTACATAGTAACAAAACATAGACGGCGATTCATATTAAAATATAATTTAAAAAAAATGAAAAAACTAAAAGTGTGTTTTTTCAGTTTTTTAGCATATCGAACTAAAAAGTTAAAAATAAGCTTAAAACAATAATGAACGAAAAATACTAGTATTATTGTGAAAAAAATCGTCGGGCGCTCAATATACGAAAAATATGGCACAAAGCCCCCACGTTTTTTTTCGATTGGCGAATCCAATTATCGAACCGATTTCTTGTTCGGCATATGAAGCCTCTCGTAAATGAGTTTCGAACCCGATGATTTTTTTTTTAGCTACGATGCGAAGCTGATAAGGTATTAATTTTACTATGATGTGTTTTTTTTTTCTGTTTCTATGAACGCTCAATCATCTCAGCTCTCTCTGGACCGATTTTGATAAATAATACGTCAAAAAATCACAAATCGTATCTAGTCGAAAACATCCTCAAAAATTAAAAAAAATTCCTTCGTTCTCCATAAATGTGGAAAATCTCCAAAAAAATTACAAATCGCTAAATTTCGACATTTTTATTGAATTTTTTTACTTAAAACTGCCAAAACTTTTTTAAAAATTACCAAATCAATATAATTTTTTTTCAACTAACAACTTTTTCACAAAAAATTTAATTTTTCAACTTAGCTTTTGAAAGTGTTCCGGAAAGTCTGACACTTTTATATATATCTTAAATTAAAGCTAATGTAATGTACTTTATTAAAAAAAAAAATATTCGGACTTTATTTTGTCTTCACGGTGAAAATGGCTACCGATGCTATTTTTAAGTGAAAATTGTCGATTTTATATTTTACATTTTTTACTTTATAATGCTATAACTTATTAAAAAGTGTATGAACTCAACGCAATTTTTTTATGAGAAATAATATTTATATCCCTTTTTTATTCGACATACTTTATCTTAATTAAGATATTATAAAGGAATTAGAGATCATGTAGCTTTTGGAATAATCCACCAATTTTTTATAATTAAACACTATCTAAAGATTTGCATCGAAGCGTTTTTTTTTGATAATGATTTTAATCACTGCCAGAAATCAATATACTTGATCCAACTATGCCACGTCACCACTGTGCTGGGTTTTTTATTTAATTAAAATATAATTATTAATAATTCATACGTAACTGTGCTGGGTTTCTCTACTGTATTTGTGTGTGCTACTACTAGACTATAATATTATATTTATTCTAGACTATAAATTATTAAAATTAATTCAGTTCATATTTCAATTGTAGAATCTTTTTAAACATTAAAAGTTACTAGGAATTGATTACTGTTACTTCTATTTAAGTTATCTATTACGATCAAAATGCAAAAAAATCTTGAGCTTTTCTGATAAATTTACTATAAATAGTTATTATACAATTTCCTAACTGCATATCAATCTTAACGATACAAATTTTAAATTTTTATAAAATTTCCTATTTAATGATGTCACTTCTAATTTGCAAATTGAATTGAAAGTTATGGTAATATATTACCATATTATTTTTTTTAATTATAAATTTTCACAAAAATCAATTTTAAAGGATTAAAAAAATAGTTTCATTATGTCATTTTCCTTATTGTTAACATATTAATAATCAAAATCAATATTAATTTAAAACAATTTTTTTTTGTTCGTAATTATTTTTTTATATGTAAATACTTATTTTTTAATAATATTGTTAATATTATAACTTAAAAGTGATAGAAAAATTCTAATTGCACATTTGAAACATTGCAAAAAGTTGATTTAGAAAAGTATATTTTTGTTTCTGATGAAAGTTCCTTGTAGTCCAGTGTATAAAACTTATAACTTTGTTATAAATAACAAACATTTTTTATGTGAAAATATTGTATCAAGCCCTTTACATTTTTATGTGCGTTAAAAATAAAGAAATATAACTTCTTTATTATTTTTATAATATCTCCGTAAAATTTACAATATTAAATTATTCAATATCAATTTCATACTAAATTTAATTATAATAATTATTATTTATTCATATATTTTAATAATAAATCAAATAACTAATCGGGATAAAATTAAGGGAATAAGAGTTATTGTTGCTTTTGAAATAATCTACTAATTTCTTAAAATTAAACACTATCTACAGCTTTGCATTGAAGTGTTTCTTATGATAGTGATTTTAATCACTGTCAGATATCATTTATACTTATCCTAACTTTGCCACTTCCATACTGTACCGTGACCCCACTGTGCTACCGTTTTTTAATTAATAGTGCGTAAAATAAACTTTAATTTAACATATGTTTAAAGGATGCAGTAATTCCGAAACATTTTAAAACTTATGTTGAAAAGTGAGTTTTGCTATTTTAAATCCCTTTCTGTGAGCAAGTTAAGTGTCAGATCATTATCTAAGGTTTCAATATAAAAAAAAATTTATTTTGATTCGTTCATTTCATAAAGTTATGGCAATTTAAAAAAAAAATCGAAATTTACCGATTTTAAAAATCGTAAGTTTTTGGCGTTTTACCATTTACGGAAAACGAGGGAATTTTTTCAAATTTTGAGAGTAATGTCTTCAATTTGATACCATTTGTGATCTTTTGACGTATCGTTGAAAGAAATCAATTCGGTGAGAGCTTAGAAAAAGTAGTGTCACTACTTTTTTTCAACTCAAAAAAAATAAATAAATACATCATGCTAAAATTAATACTTTATCAGTTTTGCATCGAAGCTAAAAGGTTTAAGATTTTAAGATTAGTAAAGAATTTTGTTTCTACTTATAATACACATAAATATCAGCCAAATTGCATAAAAAAAATATATTTTAAAAAATTTTAAGCTTACTTGAGACCTACTAGAAATATACTATATAATGACGCTAATTATGATATCCACGCTATTAATTTTAGACTTAAAATTTTGGAACTAAAAATTTTGTATTCTACAGTAAAAATCAAACTATTTTGATATGCTTGTCATATTTTTGGTCAAAATACTAAAAACATGTTGAGCAACCAGAAAAATATTTTTTAAAAATTTCAAATTTCCATAAAATTCCCATTTTAATATGTATAATAGAGTTTAAATGGTTCTCGAAATTTCGAAGATCGATTTTTTATGATCCACCTTTACTATACTAGATTAATATTTGAATACATTCATCATAGACTAATTTTAATTGTTACTTACAAAACTTTTCATTTTTTCCAATTTTTTTTAACATGTTAATAATATTTTGAGAGGAAGAACCAGCTGCTACCAATAACTTTTTACTTTTTTCTCGTTGACGAGTAGCGCCACCTTTTCTTTTTTCGACCATTTTAGTAGTATAAGTATAATATATTTTTATTAAATAATAATAAAAATTTTGCTATTTGACTTTATTTTTTGTTCATTATCGTAATCAACTATTACCGTCAACTGCACGGCAAAAATGTTGTGATAAAAACTCTTACGAACATCAATATCAATATCTTGCGTCTCGTAAGAATATCAATGATTCAGTATGATATACTTATGAGATATGAACAACGAACAACGAGAGCGAGAAAAACAATGTTAGTTTTGTTTAACATTGTTTTTCAAAACCAAAGGCATTAAGGCGACAGATCTCGAGAGAGTAAATACAAAATCATAACGGCCAAGCTTCCGATGAGTGGAGTGTTATCACCAGCTGATACACTATCAGTATGACCAACTTGAGCGTTCACCCGAACACTACCTATTGTTATATGTTATTATTATTCTAATGCCCGTCTAAATAAATAAATAAATAAATTTGTCATTTTCTTAATTAATTAATTTTCTATTATGTAAACTAGCTATATATGTACGTTTATTCATTTACAGAATCAAAGTTGGTATCCTTATATGGCATTAGGGATGGTGCTTAAGACAAATTAAAAAATGATAAATCAAGAAATTGTGTAACTAATAAAAAATCAAATATTTATTATCAACATTATTTTTTATTTTAAATCTAAACGTTTATGTTAATGTTTATGTTAAATAAGTTACTCTGTATATATTTATAAAACATTAGCAAGAAAAGTTGAAAAGCAGTGTCGACAGTTCTTTATTAGTCACATACATCTTCAATTAACGAATAATTAAAAAATTTATCTCGTGAAGCGAAAATATAAATACATTTTTCTTCATTTATTTTAGAAAAATCTTGAGTAAAGATGTCTTTAGGAATGTATACCCACTTTTTCCAATTATTATAATATACATATATGCTTGTTTCAATAACAAAACTTGTAGCTATTATTTGGACCATGCCTACGTAAAAACAAAATGGTATCAAAATATTTAGTGATAATTAATATATTTGTTATAAGAAGGATAGTTATTTGGCTTTAGTGAATGTCCAAAAAGTATTAAGGAAAAATATGAATTTTTTGACTAGATATAAATTAATGATATTGATGGATGACCATTTTGACATTCACTAGTTTTACAAAAGCATATTCAAGCAAGATTTTCTTAAGGAAGCTATTTTAACTTGTATGTTAATTTTTTAATAAATTTTCATAACTGTCAGGATACTCTTAAGTACTATTTATTAATTTAGTTAAGATTAAAATTATATTTTAAAATTATGGCATCAGTCCTTGTTGATTGTCGTATACGCTCAAAACTTGTTGCACCATTCCTACAAACTTCTTTTTAAAAATAATAACAGTAATAAAAGATAATTATTGAGCTCTAATATTACTATGTATTGGAAGCTATAAATAATTGTAAACTATCAAAATTTGATAAAATTGCTTCATTTTTTATTTTATATACATATATTTTTGAATCATCCGTTCTATTTTTTCTATTGGATTCTGTTATTTTATTAGGTATACGATCAAAGTTCTGTTGTTTTGCAAACGAAAACGTTCGCCAAATGGATTCTATTGTTCTAATAGTTATACGTACAAAATATTATTGAACGTTCATGTTCCACGATTGTTTGCAGTTTATTGTTTAATAAGTAAATATTTCCTAGGCTGTGCTACTCCTGATGTTGTTGAATTGTCACCCAATCCTTAAATGAAATACGATTTGCCCAAGGATTTTTTGAGGATCTTGAATTTGGTATATTCCCTTTTTTTAATTCCGAGTAAATAAGTTTTATTGGTCTGCATGAAATACTTTATTTTCTTTCAAAGAATCACTCAAAATATTCCTATTCATTTTCATCAGTTTTACCGTTGTTCTAATAAATATTACCCAAATTATCCACAACACTACTGCGACCGGCCTTGGGCCTATTTTTGAATCGTCCGTTCTACTAACGGATTTTATTGTTTTATAAGTTATACGATAAAAATTTTAATGCTCAATAAACGTTTACGCTCTACGATTGTTTGAAATTTATTGTAATAATTTAAATAAAAATTTTGTATTATAAATTTACTATTAAAATATAATATTTTACAATAAAAAAAATATGCGAAAGTAAAATACAGATTAAACCTAACAAATTTTAATAATAAAATTTAATGATCTACTTTATTTGATATTGTTTAAAAATTGTATATTATATGTAGATAAATATATTATTTTTAGTAATTTTTAATATTTAACTAAAAAATTTTGTTTGTAAATTTCAAACATTTTCTTAAATGTATGTTTTTTATTACAACAGAATTAATTATTACAGTAATTATTATAATAAATACATTTTATTATAAAAAAAAAACGTTAGCATAGTGGAGTCATGGCACAGTATGGACGTGGCATAATGAGACAAGTATAAATGATATCTGACAGTGATTAAAATCACTGTCATAAGAAACACTTCAATGCAAAGCTGTAGATAGTGTTTAATTTTAAGATATTGGTTGATTATTCCAAAAGTAAAATTAACTCCTATCTTTTGTCTTAAGTACCACAATAACATTGTTTATTTACACGGAAATTACATTTTTTGTTCAATTTTGACGGTCATTTGCACATAGAAGATAGGTCGTCGCGTTTTGGACAAATTTTTTTTTTTAACTTATAGTACATAATGTAAGTTTTCATTTAACAAATATTCAAAGGTGGCAGTATTTCCAGAACATTTTCAAAAATTAAGTTGAAAAAGTTCTACATTTTATACGTATGTTTCAAGTTTTGAACGCCCCTTGTACGAGGTATGATAAAAAAATACCCGGATAGTGTTTAATTTTAAGAAATTGGTGGATTATTCCAAAAGCATAATTAACTCCTATTTTTTGTTCTACTTCGACTGCCATTTGCACATAGAAAATAGGTCTTCAGTAGACATTTTTTTTTTTTTGGACTTCTAGTACATAAAATAAGCTTTATTTTAACATATATTTAAAAGACGCAGTATTCCCGGAACATTTTCAAAGGTTAGGTTGAAAAAGTTCTACTTTTTATGCAAATTTTCAAGTTTTCAAAAATTCAAAAAAGCTATTCCTAACTTTGAGGAGCCAAAATAAGTAAAAAATTATATTTAATTTAAGTTAGATCATATAAATTTTATACTTATTGTTGGCTGTGGCCGACATTTTTAATTACAATATCGTATAACGGTAAAATCCGACCCGAGTAATTGTAGAATTTATAATTATAGTTATTCACTTTTCAGCATTCATATTACAGTATAGCATTTTACATTTACACTTTTAGTTTGAATTCAGTTACAATGGAGTTAAAAATAAAAACCGCTTATTAAGTACGAAGACTTCAAATTTCGTTTTCACAAAACACTTAAAGATGATGCACAGAGATAATCTTGCTGTGTAAAAAATTGTAAGTGTATTTGAAATTATCTCCTACAGATAAAATAGTAGATAGTTATAGTGATTACAGCCACGGTAAAACTAATGAAAATGTCCTAAATAGTAAGAATATTTTGAGTAATTCTTTGAAAAATAAAGTATTAGATAGTATTTCGTGCAAATCAACAAAACTTATTCACTCGGATTTTAAAAAATGACACAATATTCATCTTGCACGTTTATTTGAGTACCCTCTACTAACAGGTTCCATTGAAGAATTACACAACCAACCTCTTGGTGATGTTTCTTGGGTAACGCTTATAGGCTGATACATACCCCAAAAAAATTTGAACCGCAACTCACCAACATCGCATTTGACACACCGTTCTATTACGAACCTACATGCTCGTCACAGCGTTTACCATATAAACATACATAAGATAAAATCATAACGTATACGTTTGTGAACGAACAATTTAAAAATAGACGCCCAAGTATAAAACTGTTAATAACTTTTATTAGTCCAAAAGTTTTCTAATTAAATCATTTCATTATTTTTAAGCTAGTTGAACATACAAGGTGTTCAGTAAGTAAGGTAACAGGTCAATTGTTACAAACAATGAGAACAATAGAAATCCTTTACTTTCTGAACACTTTATATATGTTTCTATTTAAAAGACTAAACTAATACTATTTTAAAAAGAACAGAGGGGGATAGTACCTATTTTTTTGATAATTTTAGAACATAGCAGCACATTTACAATAATAATTAACTTTTGGAAATATTTTAGGGTTTTGAAGATATTGCGTGAGTATAAATATATAGTTAATCAATTTGTATGTTTTATCATATCTCAAAAATTGGGATATCATGAATATTAAATTTGTCGAGTAACCAAAATCTTTTTTATTTAAATATTAATAAAAAGAATACCAGTTGTATTAAATTTTCCATCCTTAAAATATTTTTCTTTTTTGTCAAAACCTCCTAATAAATTAATAATATTTTCGTTTTCATTTATTGCCTGTAAAATAAATTGATAAATTAATAGAAAAAAGTACACATTTTTATTTTATAATTATGCTACTGAGTTTATTACAGGGCAATGATGTGTTATGAATAATATTAAAATTATAAAGGTTAAAACAAAATGTTTTTCAAAACGTAATCAAAAAACAAAAGCACAACACATTTGGGTCACGGTTTAGTTAAAACGCGTCATATTTGGGACAAATTACTATGATATCTATTGTTAGGTACATTTTTAACATTACATTAAACCAATGATAACCCAGGAATATTATAGTTATTATGCAATGTTTTTCGTAGCAATATGTAATTTTTAAAATTTTTGTCAAATATGTTTAAGAACTTAAGTTAGTTCATTAGTTAATTAATTAATAAATATAAGTACGGAAATATCCTTTCATGCACCTCCACAAATGAATCTGTCGAAAAAATTATGACTAAAAAAAATATTATTTGTAAAGATCTGGATTAAATTAAACAATTTTTATTTTCTAAGATCATGTTATTTTGTGGTAAGATTATATAGTAGCAGTTGTGACTGGTGGGTGCTGTTCATAGGGGTGGGACTTTAAATTTAATACCGCTAGTCATAGGTATGAAAAATTGTCAAAGTAAATATAATGAAATAAAACACAATACACATATTATTTTAAAGGTCGCAGTGAAAATAGAAATGAAAATAATAATAATAATAGTGATTATATCAATAAATATGAGTGTACACGAAGTTAATTCTAAAAATAAATTACCAATATAGTAGTATACTAATATTTTACCATATTGACGCCGCTGCCGGTCGTCCAAAAACTGCTCGTGTGCGCATGCGTACCTGCATATAATGAGGGAAACAACTTTGATGTTCGCACACGACTAATGTATTTTAACTATTTTNAAACACAATACACATATTATTTTAAAGGTCGCAGTGAAAATAGAAATGAAAATAATAATAATAATAGTGATTATATCAATAAAGATGAGTGTACACGAAGTTAATTCTAAAAATAAATTACCAATATAGTAGTATACTAATATTTTACTATATTGACGCCGCTGCCGGTCGTCCAAAAACTGCTCGTGTGCGCATGCGTACCCGCATATAATGAGGGAAACAACTTTGATGTTCGCACACGACTAATGTATTTTAACTATTTTACTATTTAAAAATTTGCATTTTTAATAAAAATGTATAATTCAGAACATACATCATCTACGCTCACATCAGCTGTCCTCATATCGCATTCAATAACATCCCTCAATCTCATTTTTGGTCTTCCTCTACCTCTTTTTTCCTTCAACATTCATTTCTTTAACTGTTCTTACAGCTTACGATTCTTCTCTCCTCATAAAATGACCAAACCATCTAAGTCTATTTTCTCTAATCTTATCCACATTGATGCTACACCTATACTCCCTCTTATATGCTCATTTCTTATCCTATCTTCTCTAGTCACTCTAATTATCCATCTAAGCATTCTCATCTCTGCTACACTCATTCTATGCTCGACTTTCTTATCAACAGCCCAACACTCTGAACCATACATCATAGCTGGCCTTATTACAGTCTTGTAAAATTTACCTTTCAGTCTCATTGGAATTCTTTTATCGCATAAGATACCAGACGCATCTCTCCACTTCAACCACCCGCGCTTTATTTTGTGTCTTACAACCTCGTCAATACCACCACTCTTTTGCACAACTGACCCTAATTACTTAAAACTCTCCACCTCTCCAATCACATCCTCGCTTATTGTCACTGACATCCTCATTTCACCTACCTCGTGTTTTCCTTTTCAAAATCGTACTCTATAGACTCTGTCTTACTTCTACTTATTATTAAACTCTTTTTTTCAATAGCTGATATCCCCACCTCTAGCCTTTGGTTAATTTCTTCCCTATTTTCTCCTATTAATACTATATCGTCAGCAAACAACATGCACCACGGCACCTTTCCTTATATTTATCTAGTAATTGAGTCCAACTCAACAAAATTAGTTATTATATTACATTCAAATTCAAGTTATTACATTGTAAATTTAGTCTAGCAAATTACGTTTATATATTTACGTATAATACGCGTCTTTATAGTTGTTTTTTGTAGCTTTATGAATTAAAAATGTTAAATATTTCTTAGTTTTGAGTTAATATTATAAATATATTTTTAATTTAAAAAATTATTCTGCTAAAAAATTTTGATTTTTATTTCCTTATAGTTAATATGAAGGCTTTGAATTATACACATTTATAATTTTTTTAAGTTATTATGAACACACTATCAGCCAGTACAAATCTATATCAGTTGATTTAGAATTGAAAATTTTTTACCTCTCACGTTTGCTATAAAATAATCAAGAGAACCAAATTTCAGTTATAAAATGTTTGACTCCTTGTTTAAAATAGTTCCAGCACCCATATTAATTCGTAAAAATAAAGTTTTTCTTTTATTCAAACCTATGCCGAGTTTCGTTTATATTAGGTTTCTTTTAGTTATCAAGAAGCCTAGGAATTATACGCATTATAATTTTTTAAGTTATTCTGGACACACCATTAGCCAGTACAAAAATTTATCGATTGACTTAAAATGAGTTGTTATCAAGATTACAGTTTTGTAGGTGGTAGGGGATTACCCACCACGTAAAACGAATAATATATCTATACTACTTTAAAATCCTATGACAGAATTGCACAAACTTTGGACCCTCGAAATTGTCTCAATTAAAATTTTTAATGTATATAATTCCTAGCCCTAGTTATTATTTATAAAAATATTTTTTTGGTTTTAATGGAATGCTACCATCCTACAGTTTTGTTTTACTCTTTTAATAATATAATCTCATAGAATATTTTTGCTTTACACACCTTCATTCGTAAAATTCAATGTTTTATTAATCATTATTTTTTTTGTTTCGTAAAATATTACCAAACTTTAAGCTTCACTATGAATAATACTTATTAAAATAGTATGATTATGATTATAACATATATTCATATTATATTATTACTTTTAAAACCTTTTCACGTAAAAGTTTGTAATTCTTATATGTCCCACTAAATAAATAAGATATTATTTTATAATATTTGTTATCTCTCCAAACGACATTTTCTTCATTATTCAATTTTGGAGATTTCAACTGTTTATTACAATTAATAAGAGTGATAGGTGTTAATGTTTTGAAATCTAATTTTCTACTTATATTTTTCCGCCACTCCGAATCAACTGGTTGAAAACGGTGATCAGCTATAAGATATTTAAAAACCAAAACCAATTGACCCTTTTTACTTGTATGACTTTCTGTAATGTGTTTCACACTAGTCTATAATATTCAGTAAAAGTTAATTACAAAATTATTTAAAAAATAAATATAAATTGAGATATTCTGAGAATCATATATGTATTGATTGTTAATTTTTTTTAATATTATAACTTAATACTAAGAAAAAATATACTAAGAAATTTATTTTAAACCATTAACTAAGACATTATACATAAATATTATCATTAACTATTTTTAAAAGATATAATTAATTTAGTATTTGACTACTCTTCTTCTTCTTCTTTTTCTACTTCTTCTTCCTCGCCACGGTATAGTAGCGTAAAAATATTTTTCTATGAAGGGAAAAAAAACCCAACACTTCCCAATACTTTAACATCAATAACAACATAATTATGATTTCTAAAGTGAATTAATACAAATTAGAGGTAGCTGATATTATGTTTGGAATAACTTAACAAAAATAGTTCTCTTCTTCTTCTTCCTTGCCTTAATCCCAACTACTTTGAGTCAGCCATACTTATCCTAAACTTTCACATGACACGATCTCCTACGATCATCTACGCTCACATCAGCTGTCCTCATATCGCATTCAATAACATCCCTCAATCTCTTTTTTGGTCTTCCTCTACCTCTTTTTCCTTCAACATTCATTTCTTTAACTGTTATTACGGCTTCCGATTCTTCTCTCCTCGATTTCATCCATTACTATAGAAAATGAGTAAGGGCTTTAAGCAGAACCCTGATGCACTCCTACTATTAGCTGTAAACCTTCTGTTACTCCCCCCTTACTTTTTATACTGGTACAAGTGCCATCATACATATCCTCTATTATATTAATGTACCTCTTCGCGACTACTTTTCTTATTGATGCCTCACACAAAATAATAGCTAAAATGTTGACTACCAGGAATAAATCCAAACTGGTTTTTAGATACTGATGTCTCATTTCTTATTATCTTATCTATTACTTTGACGCGTATCCAATATGTATTGATGAACACCACACAAAATGTTAAGATTCTATAGGCAAATTCCATTTTCAAATAAAAGTATATATATATGTATGTATATATCTATATTTCTATATTCTTAATGATTATGAGTATCGTGCCGCACAAAAACGTAATTAAAAATAACAGCTATATAAATTATTGTTCCGCACAAAACCGTAATTAAAAGAAACAGCTATATAAAATGATTCAACAATCAGTGTTAAAATGAATAAAATAAAATTCGTGCACAGCGAAACACCAGTTACCGTATACGTCGGAGTGAAAACAGAACGCAATATCAGTAATCCATATTCGGCGGCGGCCTTATCTCAGTGTCAAGGGCGGGGAGACAACCAATTGTCATATTAATAGCGGGACGGCTGATATCGTGAGAGACACGGGTGAGCGCCAGCCTAGAGCGACGGGTGGTGCCGTGTCAACTTTTTTCTAAATTTTCATACTATGACTCATAAGCTTTATGCCTTTATAATTTCCACACTATTGTATGTCATCTTTGCCTTCAAATATCAGCACCATAATACTATTCCTCTGTTCATTTGGAATATTTCCTTCTAATAAGATTTTATTAAAAAATTCCTTCAACCACCTTATGCCAACACCGCCTAATATTTTCCATACTTCATCTGGTCCCACTGCTTTATTCTTTTTCATTGATGCCACAGCCTCCGATACCTCTTTCTCACTAATTAAATCTACTAGTCCTTCATTCCACGAAATATCCTCTAACGTCTCTTTTGGATACTACCCCTCATTCAGTAATTTTTCAAAATACTCTTTCCACCTTTTTTTCATTACTTGTGGTTCATAGGGACTTATTACATTCAGCACTTTTTCCTCGAATATCAATTTCACGACTATAATCCTGTCACTTTTCCTAGCAACTTCTACTACTTTACTTTTCATTTCATTTTAAATTCCTCCCTGTGGGCAGGTAAAGGATCAGATATAAAAAAATATATACCCAATGAAAGGTAATAATATCATGCATCTATATAAAAAAAAATTATACTGATTTGGTAATTTTTAAAAAAGTTATGGCAATTTTAAGTAAAAATATTTCGAAAATTAGCGATTTTTAAATTTGTAATTTTTTTGGAGATTTCCCCCATTTACGGGGAACGAGGAAAATTTTTTTCAATTTTTGAGGATAATATCTTCGACTAGATACGATTTGTGATTTTTTGACGTATCATTGAAAGAAATCGGTTCGGTGAGAGCTGAGAAAAAGTGGTAACAGACACAAAAAAAAAATAAACACATCTTAGTAAAACCAATACCTTCTCAGCTTCGCATCGAAGTTAAAATGAAACAAATTCAAAATTTTCATATTTCAAATAGATAACTAATGATGTTTTATTATAATTAACTATTTTTTTTACGACTCGCAATCATATCACGGCGTTCTGTACGTGTCGAGGAAGCGCCAAAAATCCGAAAATCCGATATCCCACCAAAACTCTGGCCGTTACAAGCGTTTGAATATCATCAAATTTTAACGAAAAATAACAAATTTTCTGTATGCCCATAACACATGTACGCGTCCTATTATATCTTATTATATAATAGAACTAGGAAAAAACGCTTTTCTGGAAAAATTACTTAGTGTGCTCGGATTTTCAAACTTTTTTTTTCAACGAAAGTACTCGGTCATCAGACTCCGGAAAAATTATTGGCGAAGGTCGGAAAATTATATTACTTACAGCTTTTTAAATTTAATTTATATTTGGAATCCCAATAAAAAATTTTTTTAAGAAAAATGCTATAGTCTTGTAAGATAATTTAATGTGTTTATTTTTTATATTATTAATTTAAAAAAATGTAACAAATTAAATTCAAAATTTTCATATTTCTAAAAGATAACTCATAATGTTTCTTTATAATTAATTATAATATTTATAATTGTTTACACTTACATTTGATTGTGAATTCGTATTGGCTGAAGCATTTTTTTCCTAAAAATAATTATATAAATTAATTATAAATTGGAGACTTTAATTATTTAAGTATATCCAATAACTGCAATTTTCAAAAATTTTGAATAATATATAAAATTAAATCGCAATCGATCTTGTATATGATTATAAACAAGTACAATTATACGCAGGATGTGTAACTCAAAACATTTTAAAAATATATTATCTCTGAAAACCCAACTTCATAAAAATGTTTTATTTATACCTAGTGATTGATAAAGTACAATATACTCATTCTTTCAGAAATTGTTGAATATGTTAAATTAATTCAAAGAGATAGCAAACTCAATCAATAATTTGGTTTTCAAATCTTATGAAAGTTAATATATATTTTTTTAAAAATTTATCCATATTTATTATTTTATTGTTCATTATTAGCGTTCGTCGTATGTCGGTAGTATAGCGACGTAGACACAAAAAAAGGGACACAAATTAATTAGTACATTAGACATCAAATTCGTCGTTTTTCTCGAGTTCTCCCGTTGGGTACATTGGTCAGCCACAATTAATGAACCACTAATGAGGTAGATTTTAGACTCGCTTGTAAGGTCTAGCACAAAAGTAGCAGACTGAAGAATGGCTCCTCGTCAGCCACCAGCACAACTACCTTTTTACTATACCTACTAATAGACGCTTAAGCCCAAAAACTAGCCATCTCGCATACGAATTGTTAAGATCGACTAAAGGAATATCAACTATAGCTACAAACACGTACACAATTTTAGTAACACGGCGGATATTAAGTATTTATACTAAAAGCAGGTTTCGCATAGTTATCTTTTATTTACGGAACGTAAAATACAAAAAATCAAAATATAATACAACAATATTACATAATATAAATTAAGCCGTTCAGAGTTTCACATGTTAATACGTTCTAAATCGTAACTGGACATTTTTTAGTAAAAACGTCAATCCTCCTTTATTTTACTCGTTTCGCTTTATATATTATTGTTCCCATCGTTATTAACCTGCTTACCCTTCATATTCCTTTTATATGACATTTTTATTTTACTTAAAATTTTTTAATTGTTTACTACAGTAATAAAAACCTTGAACTATACTAATATGGAAGAAATTTGATACCTTCTCAGCTATTTAGTACATTTAAATTTAAATTAATTTAATTAATAAAATTTAATGCGTTTAAAATTTTATCAAGTTCTTTTATTTGACAAGAAAGGTAAGGAATCTAAATAATAGACACGTGTTCTATTATAGAATTAACTGGGAAACAATACGATATAGTTAACACATTTTAAATCTTAAAATTCTGAATAATATACGTTTTAAAATCGCATGTGCTATAACATATTTATTTCTTAAATTATTGATCAATTGATAACATAACCAACATTTTATACTTAATAAACCGTATTTAACGTTGTACCATCAAAGTCAGATATCTAAATCAGATTTTAGTATTTCACAATCATTAGTATTATTCATTAGAAAATATAGTTTTATTTAATAGTCAAATAAAAGATATTTTCAATAACAAAAAAAAAAACAGTAATAGAATGGGGTCGTACTCAGTGTGGTTGTAACATAGTTGAGACAAGAGCTCATTCACAACGTGGTAGCGCCACCCGTTAGCCCGATCCCAGAGTAGGAACCATTTGGCAGGGTTGGTAAAATAACTCACAAACAAATAAATCATAATAAACACAAATCCTAAGTCGCCGGCCTAATCTAGTGACTCAGGTCCTCCTGTGTCGGGCCGCGTGAGTGCCTCTGTTTCAGGCGTTCCACTTTATTTTTTAAGACGGATTCAACGGACACCTGGACAAGCTTCTACGCCTACCAATTCGTCAACATCATGGACCAGACTCAGAACGTCGGGAATTGTCAGATATCATCTATACTTTTCCCAATTATGGCACATCCACACTGTGCCACGACCCTACTGTACTACCATTTTCTAAGCGCTTTCTGACTTTCCCGGGCGATTCGAACGATGGTCGCACGTTGACGCGACTGCTTTGCACCACATAACTATATAACCATAACTCGTTAGAACAGCCTTGGTCAGACATCACTTAGGTGACAGGATAAATCATCTCAACGTGAGTCCGGTTCACTCACCTGTCCAATAATCGGGTCTTAATAACCTGGTCCACTTTCCTCTCGTCGTTTCCTTTGAGAGGTGACACCGCCAACGGAGCATGGTCATCCGCCTGAGCACCAGACGGTCCTCGGGTTCGACTAAGATTATGCCCAGCTGCGCGTTTCTTGGCGGGCGGCAATGTGGACACCGTTTGAACTTTAAACGTTTGTCCTGATTGTAGACAAACGTTTAAAGTTCGTCATAGATTCAGATAAATCGTAGAGTTCTTAAGATTAAAATCACTAACAGATTTCATCTATACTTGTCCCAACTATACCACATTCATACTATGCTGCAACCCTACTGAGCTCATGTTTTTTAAATTAAAATATATACTCTTTACAAAATAATTAGTGTAACATTTAACCAAAAATATTCGGACTCGGTTGATATAAGATATCCGTTGTTGACATTCATGTTTTTGGTTAAAAAAAATTTAATATGAGTATCGCTTACACAAATTAACTTAGAAATTGTCTATATTTTCTATAATATCACTTACATAGTATAGAGAAGTTAAGTCTTCTTCATTGATTAATGGAATTGACAAATCGGAATCAAGACTTTCATACGATGTAGGTGCAAATAGCTATAACATACGAAACTTAGACTACATTACTATTATATTAGTAGTTAAATTGTATTTTTATAGTTAAACATTTTTCTATACTTTTTACTACATTGTGGATTTTGAAATAAAGAAAAAATCATCTAATCTGTGTTTTCTCTTTTAGGAATATAAGATAACCCTGTTATAAATAAATATTTTATCTCCTACATCTCTGAGTAATACTTAGAAATAATTTCATTAGAGATCGCCCGCTTACTTTCTCAAGGATATATAATGGACATTATTCATAAAAAATGGAGGTCTTCATCAATATTTTACCAATTTAAAGTCTGCATCAGTCTTAGTAAATATTTTGTTCTAAAAACTTAGTTTTTTTACTGGATTAATTAGTAAATCTATATAATGCGTAAAAATCATAAAAAAATTATTAATATAGAGTAGAAAAACTGATAATTAAAAATAAGGGAGTTTAGGGTCGATGCCTCTACATTTACAAGTTTAGAATTTGAAACGCATCAGATTTTGAAAGTTTGAAATACAAGAACTACCCTTTTTTTAATTGTTTATATAGATATATGCATTATTAATATGCATATATTAATATAAACAATTTACTTTGATTACATAAAACAATTACTTAAAATTGTAAATTTAATATATTATATTTTTAATTAATAATAATGCGTAATTCTTTATATAAGAAAAAATTAGTAATAATGTTAATTGATAAGTAAATTGGTAGGATTAAGCGTTGGATATAAGATAACACGATTGCAGCTTATAGAAAAAATCTTAAATGAATTCCTTGATATAATTTTTCTATTCAAAAATATAAATCAAGAAATATGAATAACGATTTGTAAAGTTATTATGAAAATTTAAATGAAATCGAAATAAATTGAACATTAGTATGAAAAATTCCGACCCGATGGAACTCAATAGATCGCTACTAATATGGTATTTATACTAATTTACTGTCACTGTATTCATTGGCTTAAAATAATATTAAATAATCAAAGTTAACAGAATTTTATTTACCATTTTTTTATGTTATTTTTAGGTGGGATAAAAATAACCACTTAAACGTGTTTAATTTTATGTATCGACAGACAATTAATTTTAAAAAATGTGTGTTATAAAAAATAATAGATATATTTTACATTTTTTACTGTTTAAAATCGGTAAAATTTTGTGTATTTTATAATGGATTATTATACAATAACTAAAGTACATTGACGCTCAACAATTTCTTTTCAGTGCATTAAAGAAATGTCTATTTAGATATGTCCAAATTAGAACACTATATTCGTAATATTTTAATTAGTTGCGTAAAATAAATGTAATATAATTTCATAAAATCTATAAGTTTAGAATATGATAAACTACTAGATATTCTTAGATGATATTTTTTGTAGTTATAAATTAAATGTATTTACTTTTGAGAACAAATTGTTTTTTAGTCCTAGTGTAGTATACATAATATTGTGGAATAACCATAAAATTCCAAAAATATTTAATAAATGCATCTTATAGAATCAACTAAAACCACTCAAACTACGTCAAAGTTTAAAATATAGATTATGGCTGAAATTTTCATTTTATGTATTATGAAAAGAACTTCTACATAATATTTGGCTCCATTATATTTTTATGGAAACATTAAACAAAATGTACAAAAATAAAATGCAAACAACCTTTTTTTTGCGCATACATTCCGTAAGTAGCTACGTGTCGATGCGCTTTGGATGAATTTGATTATTCCACCAGATGTATCGATATACACAATGTAAAAGGCGTAACTCACTATTTCAATCTGTACAGAAAAATTATACATTTAGACTTGTAATAACCTGTAATTTACTCGATATATATAATAACATTTATTTAGTAAATTTGTATGATAAAAACTCATACATAAAAATTATAAATATGGATTTATAAAAATAATAAAGAATGTTAAGTTCATTGATTTATTATCTGACCTTCGCTTGTTAATAATTATTTCAACTATGAAATTCAAATTGTATTTTATCATATTCCTACATTTTTTCTGGAAATAATTATTATTAAAACTAAATTTTTATAATTTTTGTGTAATATAAAGAGGATTTAAATGGGGTGTATACCTACTTCATAAGTATACCTTTATTGTTTAATATAATCTATAGACATGAATAATTTAAAAAAATGTTTTCATGTTTTTTATGTTACTTACATGTACACGCTGAACTTTTTAAGACTAGCCAGTAGATTTCTTTTAAAATAATAGCTTTTTTGTGAATTTTTTAGAATTTTTTTGTTAATTATATATATCAAATGAAAGATAAATTACATCACAATTAGTGACAATAAAATAATTAGTAATATTTTACTATAACTATAATATATACTAATGTATACATGTGTGAATTGAGAAAAAGTGGCGACAGACAAAATTATTATAAAATTAATATCTTCTGAGCTTCGTGAAAACTCAGTACAATAGAGTCATTGCGTGTCTTTTTATATTGAATTCTGGTAGTGATTAATAGTTTACTCTCTAAAAATAGAACTATTAGTCAGTTATTTATCTCTTCGTTATATTTAAAAGCCTTATCCCGTTTAATTTTACAGTTTCAATCTATCACAATTAAAATAGATTCAGATGAATAATTGTAAATATTTATTTTATTATTTTATTTCTCCGGAGAACAAATATTATTATTTAAATGAATTTATTTAGTATTCAGTACTTATAGTAGTCGAATTAAAATATTTTTAAAAACAATATCTCAATAAATTAAAAATACTTTCTCAGCTTCACATCAATTCGGTTCGTAGCTCTGCTTGCGAGTTCCAACACAAGATTAAAGTCGATGTAATTCGCTTATCTCGCCTTGCTTACTCAACCACTATAATTGTTTTCTTAGAGCAAGTGTCAATTTAAGCTTTCGTGGATGATATGGAGACGTAGAAACCCAGCAACACATTTGGATGGGACATAACAAAAATACGGATTCTGCATTAACACAACATTAGAATTTGAGGCAGCGGCAAGTGCTGCTAGGAAATGTTGTCGTGTACGCTGAGCTGTTGTGGATGCGACGCCTGATGTATTGGAGCAACTATAGGACATATTGGCTTAGATTAACACCAGACAAATTAAGTCCAACTAGCGTTGGGGGACGTAAGCTGGTTGAAAGACCAAAGCCCTAGACTATTATCTAATAATGTCTAATTGCCTCATTGACTTTTTATTGACAATATGCTATCTATTATAATTATTTGTTAAAATATACAAATTTAAATGTATAAAATGTTGATACTACGTGAGTTCATGATTTTCTCATGAAAGTTATAATTAAATAAAGTTGTATAATTATGAATAACACAATAATACAATTATACATTGCTCATTGAAACCTGAATTTTAGTTCAATAAAAATCATTTGAAAATTTTGTATGCAATTTATTAATGAAAATTAAAAAATTATGAGTTTTAACAAATCTTTTACGATTTTTTAAAAAATAAATATAATTACAAATTTTCTTGATTAATATCATAAACGTCATTAACAATGTAAATTTGAGATTTCTTTATAGCGAAATACAAACAATTAAGTTGACTGAAATCAATAGAATTGTAATTTGGCCAGTCTTCATGGAAAAAAAACCACATATTACTTGCATCTATGTAAATATAAATACACATTTTAATCAAATAAACGGCTGCAAATATCTCAATAACGCCCGATAATACACCTGAAAATTAATAATTATCTTATTTCAAAAGTGATGATAAAACAATTTTTACTTTTCATAAAATTTCTAACGGTCTTAAGTTCTTTTGTATTTTATAATGTCCGTAAATTAGGTATTTTTGTAAACCTTAACCAACTATAAGATCAGTGCTTCTCTCCTTGGTCAGTATCCTGGTAAAATGCCTAGCTCCTTCCCATTTTCTATTATTATTTCTAAGATAAAAACTGTGTATAAATGATTTTAAAAATAATTTATACTGTACCATTTTTTTTTATTTTTCTCTTCTGTAAATACTTTTTTAAATTGTCTTCGCCTTTTAGTATTTCAACCAAACTATTATTATTTATTACTTCCTAAAACATAGATATAATAGATGATTGTGTTTAGCATAAAATATATATATATCTTCTGATATTATCCAAAAGCTGATATGCTATGCCAATAATAAGATGATAAAAAAGGTTACTTTTAGTATTTTTTAAAAAGCAAAAAATAAATTAAAAATTTTAATGTTTTATGAAAATTGATATTTTTGAAGTATAAAAAAACAAATCTTCCCAAAGAGATTCATAGTTTTTCGGCTCATGATAAAAAACATCCTCCAATATACAAATTATTAAAAATCTCAAAATAATATTTTTGTGACATATTAGTATATTTTACTATGATTTGTTTTTTTTTAGCTTCGATGCGAAGCTGATAAGGTATTAGTTTTACTATGATGTGTTTTTTTTTATTTATTTATTATTTTTTTGTGCCTTTTACCACTTTTCTTAGCTCTCACTGAACCACGTTTTTTCAACGATACAAGAAAACATCAAAAATTGTATCTAGTTGAAGACATTACCCTCAAAAATTGAAAAAATTTCCATCGTTCCCCGTAAATGGAGTAAATCTCCAAAAAATTACAAATATAAAAATCACTAATTTTCGAAATTTTTTTTTTAAAACTGCCATAACTTTTTTAAAAATGACCAAATCAATATAATTTTTTTGTATTTACCTATCATTGGTATATTTATTTTATAAATTTAAACCTTTACCTGCACATAAGGGGGGATTCAAAATGACAACTTTTTCATAAAAATTAACTTTTTCAACTTCACTTTTGAAAGTGTTCCGGAAAGTCTGACACACATACATATTTTAAATTAAAGCTCATGTAATGTACTTTATTATGGAAAAAAAAATGTTGTACTTTATTTTGTCTTCACGGTGAAAATGGCTACCAAATGCTATTTTTGTGTTAAAATTCTCGATTTTATATTTTACATTTTTAATTTTATAATGCTATAACTTTTTTAAAAATATATGTATCACTGCAATTTTTTATGATATGTACTATTTGTATACCTCTTTCTTTCAAAATCCTTTTTTTTTAAATAAAATTATTTCTCTTTATACATTTAATTTATATATTACACTTATAAATCATATAATTTTTAATCAGAATATAAAAAAAAACCCAGCACAGTCTCGGCACAGTGGGGACGTGGCATACTTAAGTCAAGTATAATGATATTTGACAGTGATTAAAATCACTATCATAAAAAAACGTTTCGATGCAAATCTGTAGATTTGTGTTTAAATAGTGTTTAATTTAAAAAAATTAGTGGATTATTCCAAAAGCTACATGATCTCCTATTTCCTTATTTATATTCTTATTAATATATCTTTGATTTATGAGTGTAATATATGAATAAATTCTTTTTATATTAATTAAATTTAGTATGAAATTGATATTCAATAATTTAATGCTGTAATTTTTTCGGAGAAACTATAAAAAGTATAATTTGCTGAAGTAATATTTCTTTACTTCTATGACAAATACGTATAAAAATAAAATGGGCTTGATGCAATACTTTTCCAATTATTGTTTTTGTTGCTTATGAGAATGATTCCACTGGTGTATTTGAAATTATAATATAATTTTCATCAGAGACCAGAATATATTTTCGTAAACCCATTTTTCGCCGATTTTTATATTGTTCTACTTATAATATACATAAATATCAGCCAAACTTTATAAAAAAAAAATTTAATCTTACTTGAGACTTACTAGAAATGTACCATATAATGACGTTAATTATAATATTCACGTTATCAATTTTTGCTTTAAAATGTTGAAACTAAAAAATTCGTATTCTGCAGTACAAATCAAACTATTTTGATATACTAATCATAATATTTGACCAATAATTGAATAACAGAGGCAGTTTATTGTTTTTTGGAGTGTTTTTAGTCAAAATCCTAAAAACACGTTGAGCTACCAATAACATTTTTTTTTTAAATCTCAAATCTTCACAAAATTCCTATTTTAATGTATAAAATAATTTTAAAATGGTTCTCATTAAAATTTTGAAGATCGACTTAAAAAATAGATTAAAAATGGCGTTTTTCAAAGATTATTTTTAAGATATTGAACATCAATAATATTTTGAAAATAATTTTGTTTTTTCTTTTAAATTTTTTTTTTGTGTAATTACTTGTTTTTTACTAATTAGTAATAATCTCAAAAATTTTGTTTTGAAAAAATTTTAACTGAAAATTTAAAATCGGCGAAAAATGGGTTTACGAAAATATATTCTGGTCTCTGATGAAAATTCCATTATAATTTCAAACAGACCAGTGGAATCATTCTCATAAGCAACAAAAACAATATTTGGAAAAGTATTGCATCAAGCCCATTTTATTTTTATACGTATTTGTCATAGAAGTAAAGAAATATTACTTCAGCAAATTATACTTTTTATAGTTTCTCCGAAAAAATTACAGCATTAAATTATTGAATATCAATTTCATACTAAATTTAATTAATATAAAAAGTATTTATTCATATATTACACTTATAAATCAAAGATTAATAAGGATATAATTAATGAAATAGGAATTGATGTTGCTTTTGGATTAATCCATCAATTTCTTAAAATTAAATACTACCCACAGAGTTGCATCAAAGCTTTTTTTATGATAGTAATTCACTGTCAGGTATACATGTACCAACTATGCCACATCCACACTGTGCCGCGACCCAAATATCTGTGGCTAACAACAGAATGTCCCATCAGGTTTTAACAAATCTAATAATTTTTGATTCAATAAATTTGTTTGCAATACTTTTTTTCATAAGTATAATTTTTACAGTTTTGTACTATGTAAAAAACCATATTTTTATTATTTGTCTTTAATATAGAAAAAGTAAACATACATTTTTTGTAATTTTTTTTGAAAGTTTAAGCAAGCTATTTTTAACTTTTTTCTTACTAAATATTTTAATGGGTCTTAGAATAACACTTTAGAATAAGTACTTATTGAGCATTTTAATACAGAGTATATTAATGGAAATACAGCAGTATTGAGTTGGGTTAAGTTTACCAGTATAAGCTGTACCTATTGCCCCTCAAGTAACGACTTACAGCAGTTCCAGGGCGGCCCACATTACGCTAATCAGAGATGAAAAAAAACATAAAACAAAATTAAATCTGAAACCACCCAAAGCGGTATTACGAGTTACGCTGCCACCGCCCGTGCATGTCATTCACTACACAGAAAACACTCTAGTGGTGGCGAAAAGGGCGTGAAGAGTCTGGATTTTGGACAAACTATTTGATTATGCACTCGAACCAGCCGTCTTGCGAGTGGATGTATTAAAACACTTGTAACATAATGAGTACTTAATCTAAAGTTATCATCGACCAATTAAAATTAATTGTAAGAAAAAAGAGCTAAAAATAGCTACTTAAAATTTAAAAAAATTAATTTTAATTTTTTTTATATTCCTAGTGTAAAAAAAAAAATTTTAATTTGTCAAATCATCATGGAGTATAATTAATGTAAGTTATCAATAAATAAATATGTAACCTTATATATCAATTCCCTGTATATACTATGATTATTTTGTGTACCATCTCTAATTAGAGATAGAGCTTTAAAAAAATCATTTCCATCTTTTGTAATTTCTTCGTGCATTTCATAAATTGGAATTGTCAACTTCTTACACTCTATGGAATGGTTAGATGTTCGCATTGATTGTAAATCATCGTTATCACTTTTTTCAATTCGATTTTTTGAATAAAGTGGTTGAAAGTAATGACCATTGTCGAGAATTTTATAAAAACCTACAAAATTTCCACCTGCTTCTTTAGTGTAACAGTATAAATATCTGACTTCTACACTTGTTATTTTCTTAGATATTGTCTGAAAAATAAAATAAGTTTCCTTTTTCATATATACCATTTATAAATTTTACAAAATATATCTGTGAATATTCTAATTAATATAATATTCTATAAATTAACATATTAATTATATATTTTAGTTGGAATTTTTATAGTTTTAATATACATATTGACAAAAAATAACAGTTCATTAATTTATATTAAATAGTATTTGAATTATTAAAATTAAAAGAATTTTAGGGTATGATATGTTTAAATTATTTGGTTTAAAGCAGTGATGTCATTTCGTTTTTTTTAGAGCCAGTGAATTTTAAAAACCCAGCACAGAGGGGTTGCGGCCTAGTGGGGACGTTGCATAATTAGACCCAGTATAGTTTTAATCTGACAGCGATTAAAATCACTATCATAAGAAACGCTTCGATGCAAATCTGTAGATGGTGTTTAATTCTAAAAAATTGATAGATAATTACAAAAGCAGGATCAACTTCTATTTCCTTAATTATACCCAGATTAGTAATTCTTTTAATTATAAATTACAGTAGAACTCCAATTATCCGAATTAATGGGGACCGGGACCCATTCACTGACTAATCAAAATAAACAATGACAGGTGACTGCAATGCGCCGGAACTGGAGTGGGAACTCTTACCACGTGTTGTGCCTACACTGACGCCGCGGACTTTGGACAAATTTTTTTCTGATTTTTTCTGAAAGTGATTCGGATAATCGGCGATTCGGATGATCGGAGTTCGGATAATTGGAGTTCTACTGTATATAATTTTTAAAATTAATTGTTTTCAAATTATTATTGATTTTGATTTTTAATATGTTAAAAGTAATCATTTTGAACCTACTTTTTTTTGTCCTTTAAAGTGAATGTTTTAATAAAAAAAAAATGAATTTGTTACCATAATTTTTAGTTCAACTTTCAAGTTTGAAATTGACATTATTAAATAAAAAAAAATGAAATTGTTAAGATTAATATGCAATCAGAAAATTTTATAATTACTATTTACAGTACAATTATCAGAAAATTTTGATTTTTTTTAATTTAGCATATTACAAAACACATTTGGAATATTATAGACTGGTAGAAACATAAACAAATAGAGTTAAAAAATTAATAAATTACAAAGTAAAATTATTTACTTTTGTAGTTGAATACTTTTATCATATTAAATCTAATTCGACAATAAATACTTTAAGAATATTAGAAATTAATGATTTTAATTGTTTGTATGAAAAAATATAGTTAAGCTACTTTTTATTTGAATAAGGAATTTTTTAAGGGTAATATCTTCAACTAAATACAAATTGTAATCATTTGACGCATTGTTGAAAAAAGTAGGTCGAGTGGGGGTTGGCAAAATGAATCGTAGCAACAAAAAAACCACACAGTAAAATAATATTAACTTGAATAAGAAATTTCTTCTCATGAGGGTAGACTATAGTGATGGGATCCTTGATATTTGTTGAAGTTATTGAATCTAAATGAGATAAAAATCAAATGATTTGAAAAATTTTTCTAACTCAAAAAAAATGCAAAATGTTAATTTCCACGGTCGGATGATACGAATCTCGCTCCCTAAGCGTAAAAGACACAAGTGTTACCGACTCGGCAACTGTTTGTCGCTTTCGTCGCTCCGGAACATTTTCAAAAATTAATTTGAAAAAGTGAGTTTTTGTAAAAAAGTTGCTATTTTAAATTCCCCCCAGTGAGCAGTTTAAGTGTTAAATTTTCAAAAAAATGATATAAAATAAAAAGGAAATATCTAAGGTTTTAGTATAAAAAAAAATTATGTTGATTTGTAGATTTTTGAAAAAGTTATGGAAGTTTTAAGAAAAAAAGTAAAAAAATTGACAAAATTTACCTATTTTTAAAATTGTAATTTTTTTGGAGATTTCCCCAATTTGCGGGGAACGAGGGAAAATTTTTTAACTTTTAAGGGTAATGTCTTCAATTAGATACGATTTGTGATCTTTTGACATATTGTTGAAAAAAATCGGTCCAGTGAGTGCTGAGAAAAAGTAGTGACAGACACAAAAAAATAAAAAAAATAAACACATCATAGTAAAATTAATACCTTTTCAGCTTTGCATCGAAGCTAAAATTCCACCTTACTACTTTCAAAAGACACACTTAGTTTAAAAAAGAAAATATTCAAAACGAATTCAATTGTATACTTTTTCAATTGTATATTTGCTCACAAATAGTCAAACATCTCGAAAATATTATCAAATATCTAAATTATCAATAAAAATATATATAATTTGATTGAAGTATCATTTATAGTTTATAGTAACAATTTACTTTTCACATTTATCATTTATTAAATTTAGCAAAAAGTAACTTATTTTTTTAATTATTTTATTTAAATTTGACAGACATCTTATCTTAAAATATGTGTAGCTTGATAAATTTGATTAATTTGTTAAAAAAAACTGTTAACTAAAATTTGTTTATCTTACGTCTTTAGTAGGATCTGTTTTATTTGAATTTCCCTTTAAAAATACAAAAATTACTTATTATTTGATTAACATGAATAATGTTAATTTTCATATATTTAAATAAATTTAGATAATTAAATCATAATTGGAATTGTATTAAATATGTGCATTTAAAAATTATTCTTACCCATAATGAATCAGAATATCTCAAGTCATCATTATTAGTCATTGGATGAGTTAAACACTTAAAACACTATAAAATTTATATGATGAAATTAGAACCAATTAAATTAAATATTAATGTTATTAACTCTTGAAAATTTATGAATTTTAACAAGTTAATGAGGTAAAATTCAAGTTAATAGTTCAATTTAAAAAACCATGTATAACAATATTTAAGATCCTTTGCGATGACCAAAAGATTAGGTATTGGTTTCATTTAACTGCATGAAACAAAATGATTTAGACCATTCTAACAATACATAACGTTTATTGAAACTTTGGCATTGAATATTTACCCACTCGAATAAAAATGAATAGAATTATTTTCATACTAATTATATACGTTGAAGTCCATCAAATTATTTTGAAATAGTTACAATGGTTAAAAATAAATTTAATTGATTTGTGATAGTAATATTGTTTAGTAAATTTTTTGTATTTTCTTTTTAGAGTAAGTAAAGATTTAATAAGAAAACATTCTTGAGTTTACTCAAACGTTAGGCACATAATAAATGTTCTTTAATTTCATTTCCAATTTGTTATATAAAAATGATTGCTGTATACATTTATTTCAAAACTATCAATTTAATAAATAATCATTTTTTTATTAAAACAATTATAATATTTAAAAGTTATCGTCTCAATATGAATTTTATTATCTATAGTAACATAGGCGCAATTTGAATAAAAACTTTTGAATGGCTCATCATATTGAATTTCCCCTTCCTAATTGTTTTTTTATATAATAATAAATGTAATTTATTTGCAATTTTGGAGAGGCTAAACTCAATTTACGCCTATGTATAATAATCTAATAAAATCATTTATTAATTAATTTTATTGTAATGATTGTTAATCCAGAATTTATAGTGGATTATAAAATTAAAATTAATAAAATTAATTAATCTATAAAATTAATGTATAGAATCCGTATTATTTTGTACAAACATTTACCTTTGAAAAAATGTTATCATTTTCTGCTGTATGAACAGTGATATTCGAAAACCATATCATTCCAATAAATTTTAACAACATTCTTATGTTTTACAATTGCCAAATGTAATATTTTAGATTTATAAAATATAAATTTTTCAAAATTTTTCAAAAAGTTAAACATTTTATAACATTTTATAACCTTTTTACCATATTTATCAATTTAACCTATTTAATATATTTGATACAAATTAAGAACCGTAGGAAATATATCAAGAATATATACAGAGTGATTGAAATCTCGTAAGACACTCATTTTCTCAGAAAATATTGAGAATTTTTAATTTTATTATAGAGAAAAAATATCAAGTTCAAAAAACTCTACAATAATATGTAGTCAAACCATTATTTTTTTCGTCCCTTCAAGGATAAAAACCCTTATTTATAATTTTCTTAAATGGGAACTCCTATTTTTAACTTTATAATATGATAGAAAAAAAAATTACAAACAATTTTGTTCTTCTAATTTTTTTTATCCGATTACAAGCTTGTTAACCTTAAGTGATTTTAGGCCAAATTTCTATTTTCATTTTACTGTATTAATTACAGAAGTCATTATTTTTATTTACTGTTGCATAAGCCAAATTTTATTGATCAAGTTATGAAAGGTTATGAAACGTAATAAATGACAATATTTTTTCTGGAAATCAAAATCTTTAAACAATTATAAAACGTAAATGTAAACGTTCGGAGAAAAAAAATTATAAGAACAAAATTGTTTAAAATTTTTTTTCCTATCATATTATCAAATCAAAAATAGTGGTTCCCATTTAAAAAAATTATAAATAAACATTTTTATTCCTAAAGGAATAAAAAAAAAAATGTATTTAACTTCATATTATTGTAGAGTTTTATAAACTTAATAATTTTTGTTTTTACAAAAATTTTAAATAATCAATAGTTTCTGAGAAAATAAGTATCTTACCAGATTTCGATCACCCTGTATATAAGGGTGGTCCTTAGTTATAGAAGAAAAATTTTTTTTTAAGAAATTTAGAGTCATGGGCTCAAAATTTTGTTAGGTTCACTGAAAAAATGAAACTGGTAAAATTTGAGTACAATAAGTGGATTATCTTTTTTTGAGTGTACGCTCTTTATTTTTGAAGTTTCGCCAAAAACACAAAGAACAATTTTTATAGAACTAAATGTGAACAAAAAATAAGGCAATATATTATTTTTTTGTAAAATTAATATTTTTCGTAAAAATAAAAAAAAATCAGTTTCACTTAACTTTTTTTAAAAAATGACATAGTTTTCAGATATACNCTTTTTTTAAAAAATGATATAGTTTTCAGATATACTTTTCCAGTGTCTTAAATTTTAATTGTACAGAAGTAATATTAATCACCGTGATATCTTCTATAAAAAACGTTTTTTGAGTTTTTTTTTAATTATGAATCCTTTCCAAAAAAAAATTTAAAACAACTACGAAAACGTGTTTTTTTTTTTAATTTGTTTGCATGTATGTTTTTTTGTTTATAAACGAACTTTTTTATAGCTACTTCTCCTAGTTTATTATTACTATAGTTAAATAACTTTTTTAATAACATTAAATCATTTATAGGAGCTGTTATAATGTTCGCAGCTGAAAACCACGTTTTAATATAACATTCAACTACAAAACAACATATATCTTCTAGTGCATTTACTTATTTTGAAGGCCCAGGTAATTGACTCATTTCTTCAACGTTTTCCTCCATATCAGTATCTTCGTCCTCCGAGCTAGAGCTGCTATAATATTGAGTTTCGGCTAAATAATAAAATACTTCGGTATATAAAAACTGCTTACTCATAATGTACTGAAATTATTGCGTAATATTTAATAATTACCTGTACAATTTGCGTTTTCTAACTTCTCTTTTTTCTTTCAATCATCTTCTTCTTCTTGACGAGTAATTTTACGTTTTTCAATACTTGTTAACTTCATATCAATACCAAGCATGCCACTGGGCGGCCTTTTTTAAGTTGTGACAGCAAAAACTGTTTGTCTTCTTCAATACTCATCATATTCAGAGCTTCGATATGAGAAATGTCAAAGAGGTTGTCTAATTCTTCAGAAAAAATANCTACCATATTGAAAAATATACTATTTTTGTATGATAATTATGGGTTTTGTATTTTATTTTAATAGAAGTTGATGTTGCTTTTGCAATTATCCATCAATTTTTTAAAATTAAACACTATCTACAGATTTGCATCGAAGCGTTTCTTATGATAGTGATTTTAATCACTGTCAGATTAAATCTATACTGGACCCTACTATGCAATGTCTCTACTATGCCGCGACCCCACTGTGCTACCGTTTTTTTTTTATTTAATATAACTAAGAAAACTTGTTCGTTTATAAACAAAAAAACATACATGCAAAAAAATTAAAAAAAAAAACACGTTTTCGTAGTTGTTTTAAATTTTTTTTTGGAAAGGATTCATAATTAAAAAAAAACTCAAAAAACGTTTTTTATAGAAGATATCACGGTGATTAATATTACTTCTGTACAATTAAAATTTAAGACACTGGAAAAGTATAACTGAAAACTATATCATTTTTTAAAAAAAATTAAGTGAAACTGATTTTTTTTATTTTTACGAAAAATATTAATTTTACAAAAAAATAATGTGTTACCTTATTTTTTGTTCACATTTAGTTCTATAAAAATTGTTCATTGTGTTTTTGGCGAAACTTCAAAAATAAAGAGCGTACACTCAAAAAAAGATAATCCACCCCATTTTTGAAGAACTTCAACCCTTTGAGGCACGTGAAGGGGTTGACTTATTGTACTCAAATTTTACCAGTTTCATTTTTTCAGTGAACCTAACGAAATTTTAAGCCCATGACTCTGAATTTATGAAGTCGAAAAATAAGGACCACCCTACTGTATATATATACATTACTCAACTTTTTAACAATTTTATAATTTTTAGCTTCGGTGCGAAACTGAGAAAGTATTAATTTTACCATGATATGTCAAAAGATCACAAATCGTATCTAGTTGAAGACATCATCTTCTAAAATTAAAAATTTTTCACTCGTTCCCCGTAAATGATGAAATCCCTAGAAAAAAAACGATTTTTAAAATTAATAAATATCGACATTTTTTTCTAAAAATTTCCATAATCATTTTGATTGAATCAAAATAATTCTTTTATATTAAAACCCTAAGTAATTCCTTTTTATGTTATATAATATTTTTGAAAATCTGAGCCTGATACCTGATCACAATCCCCTATTCACAATAGCAACTTTTTTACAAAATTCAATTTTTACAACTTAACTTTTGAAAATGTTCCAAAAATACTGCATCCTTTATACATATATCAAATTAAAGCTTATGTTACATACTATAAATTAAAAAAAAAAATCATCCAGTCAACTTATCTTCTATGTACAAATGGCTGCCGAAATTCAATAAAAAAAATTTTGTGTTAAAATTTTTGATTTTAAATTTTCAACTTTAAATTGCTATAACTTTTTGAAAAATGTATAGATCAATACAAATTATTGTTTCTAAATACATTATATATACCCTTTTTATCCGACATACTTTTTTTTTTTTTAATCGGGCAATTTCCTCTTATACAAGAGGCGTTCAAAACTTGAAACATACGTATAAAAAGTTGAACTTTTTCAACTTAACTTATGAAAATGTTCCGGAAATACTGCTACCTTTGAATATATGTTAAATTAAAACTTATATTATGTACTATAGGTTTAAAAAAAAATTTTTGTCCCGACGACCTATCTTCTATGTGTAAATGACCGTCAAAATTGAACAAAAAATGTAAATTTCCGTGTAAATAAACAATGTTATTGTGATACTTAAGATAAAAGATAGGAGTTAATTTTACTTTTGGAATAATCAACCAATTTCTTAAAATTAAACACTATCTACAGATTTACATCGAAGCATTTCTTATGATAGTGATTTTAATCACTGTCAGTTATCATCTATACTTGTACCACTATGCCACGACCACACTGTACTACCGGTTACTTATGTTTGGTTTTTAATTTTTTATCTAATTCTAAAATAAATTTCGCTATCTTGAAAATTTATAATAGAACAGAATACACGTAATAAATTTATTTGATATTATATTTGTCAGCAGGTGTGTTTATACAGATATAACACATAATAGCTTAAATATTCATTTAATTTTATTAGTAATATTTTTTATATGTGTGCTTTTATTATTTCACTGTCTAAATAGACACCAAATATCATTCTTGTATAGAATACTTTTAAGAGTTAATTTTCCTATATGCATTTTAATGTTTTAAACCCCTCCTGTATAAAGGGTAATGGTCTGATTTAAAAAAAAAAGTATGTAGCTTAAAAGAAGAATATAAATATTACTTATCTTAAAAAAATTATAATGATTCATACATTTTTCAAAAAGTTAAAAAAATTAAAAATATAAAATCGAGAGTTTTAACACAAAAATAGCTTACGGTAGCCATTTTCGTCATGAAGAAAAAATAAAGTCCGTAATATTCTTTTCCATAATAAAGTATATAACAAAAGCTTTAATTAATGATATATATAAAAGTGTCAATATTTCCGAAACACTTTCAAAAATCAAATTGAAAAAGTTGACATCTAGAATCCCCTCGCGTGAGCAGGTAAAGGGTCAGATTTATAAAATAAATATACCAAATAATAGGTAAAGACATCGAGCATCTATAAAAAAAAATTATATTGATTTGGTAATTTTTAAAAAAGTTATGGCAGTTTTAAGTAAAAAAAAATTTCGAAAATTAGCGATTTCTAAATTTGTAATTTTTTTGGAGTTTTCCCCCATTCACGGGGAACGAGAGGATTTTTTTCAATTTTTGAGGGTAATGTCTTCGACTAGATACGATTTGTGATCTTTTGACGTATCGTTAAAGAAATCGATCCGATGAAAGCTGAGAAAAAATGGTAACAGACACAAAAAAAAACACATCATAGTAAAACTAATACCTTATCAGCTTCGCATCGAAGCTAAAATACAATTATTATAAGGGATTGATAAATATCAAAATTTCCCAAAAATTCAGTTGGGTATGGGTTCACTGTAACATTAAAACAATCATGATTACATATAATTAAATCAAGAATAACATTCCTTGAATTTTTATTAGCATAAGTTAATCTAAGAAAGTGCATATTATCATGAAGAAAAAGGAATTTGCACAGCTAAATGACGCAGAAAATAAATTAGATATTTTCTTCTGAATATCTGTTCACCTTTGACTGAGCTGTGGGCTTTTAAGAAGGAAATATAACTTTATTATATATTGGTTGTAATCAGTGGTGAATCTTAGGTGTTGGTGGTGTGGTGTGACTTTAAATATAATAGTTATAGGTATAAAAAATTGTCAAATTAAATATAATAAAATAAAACACATATTATTATTCTAAAGGTCGCAATAGAAAATAGAAATGAAAGTAATAATAGCGATTATACTATAATAGCTAACGAAGAGCGTACATGTATAGTTAATTCTAAAAATAAATTACCCTAAGTAGTAATATACTAATATTTTATTGTATGAACGACGCTACCGGTCGTCCAAACACTGCTCGTGAGGGAAACAACTTTAATGTTCGCACACGACAAATGTATTATAACTATTTTACTATTTAAAAATGTACAATTGATTTTCTTCTTTTAATTAATATTATGGGGAGGTGCGATCGTCCCGTCGTCCAAGCCACGAGCCAACACTGGTTGTAATACAAAAAGGTATTAAACTATTAAACTCATCATAAAATAAATAATAAAGTATTACATTTTGTAATTGAGTAGCTACTTAAAAATAAATCCAACACAGACACGAGAGATTTAAAGCAAAAGGTTATTCAAATCCTTAAATGGCATTTTTTTTTTTTGACAACTCAAAACAGAATTTTTAAGTTTAATATTTTATAATTAAAAAAAAAAATTATGCTAAGAGTAATAAAAAATAATTGATTCAGTAATTTTTTAATGAGATTTTGAAACATTATTTGAAAGAAAATATTAATTTGTAAAATATACAAAATTTGACTTGATTTTATTAGATTTTAAAAATACATATCTTATGTGTTTAATGTTAAAAAACTATCAAAGGGAAACTACAAAAAAATAATTTTTAACGTAAAATATTTTCTTTGAATAATCAACAAAATTAAATTTACTGAACAAAATGATGTACCTTTTAAAAAAAATAAATAAAAGTTCTTAATTCATGTTGTATTCTATACACTTTTATCATATGGTTTTAATAAATGCTTAAATATAATATAAGTAGATATATATATATATTCAAATTTACAGTTACTAAAAGCTTATTTTTTTTAATTATAATTATTGTGTTGAGAGTAACACAAATAAATACAAACTAGTTTCAAGGCACATCTGGTTTAAGGCGTTTTGTGTAGACAACCTAATTTTCACGATTTCTCGAAAGATACGCAAAACTCTTTGGTCATCAGAAAATTTGTCGAGAAAATGGTACCAGGGATTTAGGAAGAGAACAGTATTTTTGTAGTAACTTAGGACAACCGCAGTGCAGTGTCATAACAATCATACGATTCGCTCATATTAGGTACCAGGGGTTTAGGCGATAGTCTTGATTAGCGTAACTAAAACAAGAGCGATGGGATAACTTGGTGCCTGCCGGTTGGTATATAAGACAGCCTGACGTATTCAGTTGACCTTATAATTCTACAGATAATATGGTACAGAAATATTGTTACTGTTATTTATCAAAAATGTTTCATAGTGCATCAATTACCCTCCCCCTAATATATTTAAAAATATTGAACTAAGTTTCCCTAGCGCCGTGGTGCGTAGCGCGCAAACAGCGACATAAAATGAACGCACCCAATTATTAACATGCCAACAAACCCAACCCATCTAAAAACCAGGGTTGTTAAAAACATGTGTAAAACTTCGCATCAATGTCCATTTTGAAATTAGTGATGTTCTAGATTCCACTAAAAACGCGTTGGTTTCCTGAGTTAGACATCGTATTGAAAATAGTATTAAATATAATAACTAAATCATTTATTGGTATTCTGTTGATTATGTATTAAAATTCGAAGCAGTTTTGTCACGTAGACTACAATATTTAAAGTGGTATACAAAGTGAAAACTTATAACATTTTTGGAGATAGACTTCTCAATTCAGTTTTTAGCACAAGATCTATTTATATGTGTTTTATGAAATCGTGTATATAGCGACTTAGTTGGGGTACATTGCGTGTACCCACCTTTTAATTTTCTATTTATGTATAAAACATATACATAAACATATATATAAAACATTTACAGAACAATTAAATTTTAATGAATAAAACTTGATTATTGTTTCATTGAAAATAAATGTATTTAATTACCTCAAAATATACATTAAAGAAGTTATAATTAATTAACGAACACATTTTTATATATTATTAATTGCACAATTTTAATGACCAAAATAATTCTATGATTCTATATGACACACTATAAAAAAGTTTGGCATGAGTGTGAACCTAACATCAATAACTTTTTACAAAATATTTAATAATAAGTACAATTTTATGAATCAATCAAATGTTATTTAACATGTACATTAATATATTTTATGTATAAATAAATAACCATGGTTTAAAGAAATATACTGTTAAAGTCTATATATATCATACATAAGGGGTTTTTAGTTATAGTCAAATAATTTTGTTCGCTATAATTCAATATAATAAAATTTATAATTAAAAAGAAGGGAGTATAATTATATTATTAAATGTATTTGACATTTTTCAACATGCATAACGGAGCCACACAGTTAATTATTTAAGTTAATATAAATAAAAATCCAAAATGGTTTTGTACATCTACTTAAAATATAATAATAAAGTATAATACATTAGTTAATAGATTAGTTCATAAAGAAAAGAACTTGCTTCATACAAAAAAAAATGATTGAATGTACCACTTGGATTATTAAAAAAAAAAATTATCACAATTAAATTTTGCAATAGAACTGAAAATTGTATAGATAATTCTTAAAATTAATTTAACAAATAAATTGTTCTACAAACAGTAAAGAAATACTTAAATCTCAACAAGTTGATTTTATAATCACATTTCATAATAACAACTACATGTCAACAAAATAATATTCACTGGTTAAGTTACCAAAATCCATTTACATGTATTTTTATATTCTAGTAAAATTTCAATTTACTATTGCAGTAATCATGTCAAATAAATTTATTTAAATGTAATAACAGCTAACCATTATTTTAAATAACTATATTAATGGAATAATGTAAGTTTAATTTAAATGAGAGGACAATAATTTGATATTACAATATTATCAGGAAAATGTATTACTGTTTTCATGATAATAATTTACGGACGGTGGTATACACAATGTATCTATGAACATACTTAATTAGTAGCTCTAAATTAAATGTTTAAAAATATTGGTACTTCAAATTATTACACTAAAATAATAATATTAAGAACTCACTAAAGATTTACTTTGAATATATCATGTAGTAATAAAACAAATTTTGATGTTTTTAGAGAGTTCGGTAAGGACCATTTACTTTCAAATAAGTCATAACTAAGGAAGGACCTCCTTTAGCAGCATCACCGAGTTGGCTTAAAGGACAATTTTCAATACCCAAAAGCTGTAATTTGGAACAAAGAGCAAGTTCAAATGGTAAATGGTGAAGATTTTGGTTATCATTTATATATAAAGCTTCCAAATTTTCTAGAGTACCTATTTCTTCAGGCAATGTACTAAGTTTATTTTCACCAGCACTGAGATAAGCCAAATTTGTAAGGTGGCCTATAGCACGTGGTAATGATAGCAATTGGTTTGATTGCAATATTAATTTTTGAAGTTCTCGCAAATAGCCTATCTCTTGTGGTAAAATTTCAAGTTTATTTTCTTCCAAGTCTAATATTCTGAGTTTTTGTAAACTTCCTATAGTAGCAGGCAGTCTTTTCAACAAGTTGTTAGATAAAATTAATACTTCTAATGATTGCAAGTATTGAATATCATCAGGTAGTTTTGTTATCATATTAGTAGCTACATTTAGTTCCACCATGTTGGTCCAAGAACCTACATCCAAAGGAAGTGATACCAAAGCATTATCTTTCATATTTAATTTAGTGAGGTAAGTAGCTTTCGAAAATACACCATATGGTATTTTATCAATTTTATTATGTTCAAAATTAATTGAATCAACAGAAACAAATTGTACAGGACCACCTGTTGGATATGATGTAAAACAATTTCTAGCTAATGTTATACTATTAATTTCTTTTAAATTAACAAGTAACCCATCAGGTAATGAACTTAGCATATTACCTTCAACATTGAATTCATCCATTCGATTACAACTACTTAGTGAATTAGGTAATGTTTTTAATCTATTGTAACGCAATCCTAAGCGTGTTAACAACACAAGATTACCAATAGTGTCAGGAATATCTATCAGCTCATTATGCTGAAGATCAAGTGTAGAGAGCTGTATACAGTTCCCTATCTCTTCTGGTAAATGTTCTAAATGATTATGAGATACGTCAAACGTAATCAATCGTTGCAATTGACCAATTCCATTAGGTAATTCTTTGATTTTATTTTCTCGTAAACTAAGCATGACTAAGTTGACTAGTTTACTAATATCATCAGTTACACTACGTATTCGGTTAAATCGTAAAAACAAAGTAGTAAGTGTATTAAGTTTATAAACAACATCTGGAACTTCCGTTAATTTGTTATGCCTCAAGTCTAGTACCTTAAGACTAGTAAGATTGACCAATGAATCAGGTAAACTAGTCAAAGAATTTTCACTTAGTGCTAATGTTTGCAAACCTGTTAGACATCCAATTTCTGAAGGTAATGTGACTAACTTATTTCCATATAAATACAGCTCTGTTAACTGTGTAGCATCTCTAATAGTAATTGGCACTTTAGTCAGACCGGACTTGCTTAAATCCAAACGCCATTCCGAGCAGTCATTACAATTCTGTATTTCTTTCGCTGCATCCTGAACGATTTTCTTAGTATTCTCTTTTTTTGCAGACGGTGTATACAGTTTTTTTGAATCATGTTGCTTTACTGTAACCACCCGAGGCTTTAAGTCAGATGCTGTACCACTAGTTATAGAACTTACAGACATTTTTTTCTCTTTGCGCATCTTATTAGCATCAATCATTTTTACTATATCCACTTCGCTGGACTTCATAACATAAATTAGTTACATTAAATATTATACGAACAAAGCATAATACATTACGCTAAAATAAAAATTCATTTCCACACTATTCCTGATATTTTACTGAATTAAGAAAAAAATATAGTTCACAATTTAATGAAAACTGTTATTGATTATATTATACCTTATAGATAAAAAAAAACGTATGGATAAAAACTAAATTGTTTTTGCTTCCATGATATTAGAAGTCCTGATAATTCTTAAGGGCTTATCATTTTTATTTTAATGACTTTTGTCACAAGTAGTAGATATGTTTTATATATCCAGTTATGTAACTAAATTGAGAACCACTCTAAAACCGTATAGGTTATGTGCATGACTATTAGTTATTTTAACTGAAAACAATAACAATTTGAAAGATAATACGATCATTTACGGTCTTTAACTCATAAAAAAAGTATCTAGTTAATTTAGTTTATATTATTCTTTTAATCACGAAAATTAATTTTTTTATTATTACAAAATAGAAATGATCATGTCATCGGAACCAAAACCTGATTCTGATAAACAAAAAAATACTCTAGACGTTGGTTTGTTGGAAGAAGATGACGAATTTGAAGAATTTCCAGTTGAAGGTAATTTTTATTGTTTGCTTAATACATATTTTCATGTAGTATGTTACAATTGTGGTATATTTCTAACGTTTCATTATTTTTCTTAGAATGGACAAGTAAAGATGAAGAAGATAAAGAAGCTAATGTTTGGGAGGATAATTGGGATGATGATAATGTAGAAGATGACTTCAGTGTTCAACTACGGTAATTATGTTGTTTATAATTCAAGTTTAATTTTTTGCAGTTAGTATAAATTTGTAGGATTATTTTTTAAAGGTTTTTAAAAAATTGTTTTTTTTTTTTCATATTGGAAATATTTTAGTCGTTATACAACACGACTTTTAAAATCATAGATAGAAATTACCTTTTGCTTGGGCTAACTTATACGTTATACTTTTTTAATTAAAATTTGAATAATGAGAAAATAAGTATTATACATATTATAATATCACTAAGGTAAAGCATGAATCATAATTTAAATTTATATTATAGGTAAAATATATTAGTAATATTAAAAATATAAAAGTAATATAAATTATATTTAAAATTAATAAAATTTTTAGATACTATCAATAGCAAAGTTTAAATTTAACCTAAGAAAAATATAATTTTTTTTTTTTTTGAACAAAATTTTATGCATCATGTAAGTTTATTAAACCTTTTCTAATATTTTTGTTTGAAAATTAACAGTATGTTTTATTAAAAAAATGAGTATTGTAGGAGACAATGAATAAATATTTACCTACTTTATAAAATATTTTCTTTTAAAATAGCAGGGTCAACGAAGCAATGGCCCTTGTGTCTCCAAACTGTTATACTTTACCATATATACTCATAATAATAAAAATTGAATCAATATCCGATTTAGGTTAAAACTTAAGGGCAGAACTAATCATTTAAATTCTATGTAAATTTTATTGTTTTTTGTTACAGGGCTGAATTTGAAAAACAAAATATTCCTGCTGATTTTTAAAATGAGTTATGAATGCTTTCAAAATGTTTGAATTAAAACAAAATAATGTAAAATAAAAATAATTATAAATTTATTTAAGTACTATAATTATATGATTTTATTATTAAAGTTTATTTTAAATCTAGTTTTTATTTCTTACTTATTTTACATAATTAATTCATTATATCAATTTTACCAAACAAAAAGATCATAGACTATATTTTTGTCAAAAATGAGTTGTGTATTTTAAATGTAAATGTCACTATTTTCTACTGATAAAGTGGATGATTATTTCTACAATTTCTTTAATAATAACCATTGACGTTTAAAGATTATAAGTAAACTTTATTCATTTACTTTCATTATTGTTGTGTTTTTTGTGTGTCTCCATATTACTACTATTGTTTGATATAAAAAAAACGATTTTGCTCAACAATACATCTTAATCATATCTAATTGAAGCTATTAGTATCATGATTTGTAAAAGTTACTTCCAATTCCTAAAATAAAGGAAATGTCTCAAATATTTACAAATGTAAAAAATTTAAATTATTACAAAACAATAAATATTGATAATTTTAGTTTTTTATTTACATTGAAATAACTTTTATAACATATTGAGATATCAAATTAATTTTTTTAAATTGTCAAACAAATAAAATAAATTTTAATAATACAGTAGAACCTCATTAGTCCGGACTTCTCTTAATCCGGACAGCTGTCTAATATTACGAAAAATACACAGTATGCCGTAGACTAAAATAAACATAAAGGCAAGTTCCTCGAATTTCCCATAAGTACATATGTTCTTATCTACCGTCATTAAAGTTATCATAAACTATGTATTAATAATTTATATTTTGGTCATTATTATATATATACATAATTCTATCCACATTAAATATGTCATATTTTTGCTGGATCTAATATCATGTTGCAATATATATATATATATATTATATCATATATAGTATTTAGTATAATATAATATTCTTAAATCTATAATACGGACATGTTTTTTGGTTATTTTGTTTAATCCAGACATTCATTAAATCGGACAACCTAGAGCCCTTAGTAGTCCGGATTAATGAGATTTTACTGTATTTAAAAAAATTAATTTTGAAAACATTGATTTTAAACTATTATAAAATAGAAAACTATTTTATTTGGAAAATGGCAGGTTGATAACAATATTTAGATTAGTTTTTAATTTATAATTAATTAAATTTATATTTTAAAATTTTAATTTATAGACGGGGGACGCACGACTAAACGAATGTATTATTAGAAATTTAAACTAGTTAAATATGTATCTTTCTACTTAAAAAATTCAATTCGTTATCCTTATATATTAGCTTCGATGCGAAGCTGAGAAGGTATTGGTTTTACTATGATTTTTTTTTTTTTTTTTT